AGACTGACCAAGCCCTTTTCCCACAGTAAATTCTTTGTATATACACATCAAAAACAGATCCAACAATCCATTTGGGAAAACCAAGGTCAGTCTGCAGCCTTGTACAGAACTGGAGGGGGAGGGAGGGCATTTCTCCGGTGAGGTCTGGACAGAGCTTGGCTTCCACATGACTAAGTAGTTCCTCAGCCTGCCGTGCCCAGCTGGGGCAGGGGCTGGAGAAGAGTGGGGCTCATGGTCCTTCCGGATGTGCGAGATGCTGCTGTTAGGGCTTTTGTCTCCTGTGCCCCCGCCCCCACCCCTTCCTGCCTCAACAGATGGCACCTTCTGTGCCACTGTGAACAGTCACATCTGCCCTTCTCTCAGACAGGCCTTGCCCTGAGGTGAAGAGTCTTCTTGCAGAAGGGGCCTAGCCCGTGCTCGTCAGCTGGATGCTGTTGGACCCCACTAGACAGTGGCTGTGGACAAAGGCCCACACTCTGGGCGGCTCAGATGCTGAAGGAGAGACTGGCTTGTCCTCTGGGCTATGTGAAGCGATGGAGTTGCTGGCACCACATTTCTCCAAGCAGTGCAGGAAAGGGGAAGGGCACTGGCCTGGGTGCTGAGAAGCTTGCTAAATTGGCTCTGTGGCCACAGGTAAAGTCACTTAAGGGGGTTGGGGGGTGGGAGGGTTGTGCTGCTTCTCAGCTAACTCAATAACCTTTGCTCTCTCTACCCTGCAGAAGTGGAGCTATGGGGAGCAGCAGATCAGATAACAGGTTGAAAGGGTTGGCTGAAGTGCCTGGGACAACAATAATAAAAATAATAGCAAAACCCTCCTCCTCTCTGATGGGACCACACTTGGTGTCATTGCCAAGGAAACAGGAGAACAAGGCTCCTTCCTCACTTGAGATGAAGGAAGAAAGGAACTGTTTCATGAGCCTTTGCTTATCAGACTTTTAAATTAGTCCCTGCCCCCTAGACTTCCCCTGGAAAATCTACCAGGGAGTGATATCTCTTCTCAGAAGCCACCCACAGTAAGTTAGTCAGGGAATTTTATTTACAACTGTTTAGCTTCATTTGTGCCACAGGAAAGTGGTGTATTTTTATACATATTCACAAACAGCAAAAGGTGAGCAAACATAGGTACATCAGAGTTTTGAGAGAATCAATCTTTCCAGAAAATATTTCAGAGGGGGGCAATCAAAGTCAACCTGTTTCATTTCATTTGGTTACAGTCAACAAAAAAGGGAAACATTCAGAAACGAAAAGGGAGAGAGATGCTTTTGGTCATGGGGGTCCTCGAAAAAGTTTGTTAAAAGGCTTTTGTTTTCTTTCTCTCATTCTTTTCTTGTTTTGGTCATGGAGGGTAGGGCAACAGACACATAGGAGAACTTGGAAAAAACTTCCACATTGACTCAAATTGAATGCTCACATTTTTAAAGATAAGGCAACTGCAGCCCCCAGAAAGAAAAGGATTTGCTCAACCTGGTGAAGGAAGGGCTTTGCCTATCAGTCCAGAACTCTCTCCACCTCCACATGCCTCCCAGTGGGGCCACCGCAGCCGTTTCCTGACACGACAGGACACAGTGAACCCCCGGCACTGCCTCGGTCTCTTCTCAGGCACCTTCCAGGGCAGGTGGCTCTGCCCGTGGGGGAGGGCTCCCCAGGAAACAAGTCACGCACCCTAGAAACCAAGGTGCTGTGAGCTGAAAGGCCCATCTGTTGCAGTCAATTCACCCAAACATGTTAACAAGCGAAAGAGACACACAGCACAAAGCGGCAGTCACGGTCTGTCCCCTCCCATGGGACAGGCGTTTTATCACCTGCAGCTGCGGTCATTCGGGGCATCACGCTGTGTCTGCCTCCCTTGGAGCCCTGTCTGCTTCCTATTTGGGGCAGCCTGCTGTGTCAAAGCTGCCCAGCCCACTCCTAGTGTTTTCAGCGGCTCTTGGAAATGCACTGCTCAGCCTACATATTAGCCCTTGAGGACGAACTACTGACCTGCTGCCAAGGCCCACGAGGCTTTTCCCTGGACCCCGCTAACAAGATCTGGCTCCTGAGTGCCCCAGACACTCTGATTCAGGAGTGACAAATCAGGCTCAAATGTCCCGGGCCCTTGGTCTCACTATTCTGCGAAGAGCAAAGACAGCAAGCTGCACATGATTAGCAGGGTGGCCTGCCCCCAGATCTCTTGGGTGGCCCACCTAATTCAGATTCTCAGACACAAGTTTTCCAGGAAGAACACGTGAATTTAAGGGGAATGCCCTCCACGCGGTCTGCCTGCCTAAGTGTCCCCTATCCCAGCCGCACACGCTTGCCGTGGCAGGTTTCCTGAGTGCCCAGCACTGGCTCTCCAGCCTGGTGCAGCTAGAGTTCTCGAAGCTGGGCCACCCTGGGGACATCCACGCAAAGTGCCCCCGCACTGCTACCTCCACCTATGTTGTCTCTTTTGTCTTCTCACCTGAGTTGGCTGGAGCCACAGCTCCCTGTACTTCAGCCCAGGATAGGGTCCCAGCACCCACACCTTTGGCACCCAGCCACAGGAGGGGCAGTGGCTGCACACCTGATGCAGCCCTACTGGCCTCAGGCCCTGCTACCTGAGAGGAGGCAAGAGGATTCCCAGCAACTTTTTCTGCAGAGGAACCTTATATCGTCGCCTTCTCCCTAGCTTTCTGTCTGTGGGTCTTGACATACATGATATCTTGAGATTTTTTTTGTTATCGAGATTGGGGGAGGGATCGTGCCCCCACAACAAAAGACTATTCAGTCCTCAAAGTCAACACGCTGAAGCTGAGAAACCTTGATTTGAGCTACAGAGAAGTAGCAACTCTGACTCAATTGTTTTCCTTCTACTGGTGATGCCAACAAACTGTGAAATACTGAATGCAAGTGCTGAAGACGGGGAGATTTACGCCGGGCCTGGATAACCATAAACTCACATGATCAAAGGAGTCACTTTGATCACTTACTCCAGTAGAAATGAACTAGATGCAGCCTGGCAGCCCAGCTGCTGCAGATGCTCAGCGCCAGGACCTCCGCTGCTGACCTTCACTTGTGGGGCAGCTGCCTAAGCTCACCTGGGGCAACTACGTCAGGAGGACCAGCAGCACCGCCCCCCACAAGCTTCTCCTGAGCACCCCACTCTGTCTGGCCCTATGCTAGCACTGTGGACATGACAAAGTAGCTGTCCTCAAGGTGTTCCTAGTCTAGTGGGGACAGAGGGCTGTAAACAAACAATTACTGATCTTCTCTCGTGGCTAGGCTGATCCAGCTTCCAGTTTTCTTTAAAAACCCTCTGGGAAGGGAGAAAAACAATAAAGTAGAAAATAAAGCACTGGCGCTGCACTGCTGATTAAAATCTATATTGCTATGGCAGCCCCTCAGAGACGGGAGCAGCTCCTGGGTTTGCACCATCTGGGCTTGTGGAGCTTGTAAATAATTAAAAGGTAATTGGAAGGGGAGACCGAAGTATTAAGTGGATTTCTCTCTCTCAGGGCAACTGGGTGTTTCACTGCTGCCAGTCACATTATCTTTCGGGATTATATTCTTGTTTTTCACTGATACATGCAGCTCCAAATAAGAGCTGAAGGAGTAAACTAATGAGGGTAGCCTAGGCTGCTTTGAGAGGCTTGGCAATTGGGGGACACTGAGACAAAACTTTCGACTGTCTTTGTAAGCAGCCACAGACATGCTATAGAGAAGGCAGTGGGGTTTTGGGAGGTAAAGGGGGAGGAAGGGGAGAGAGGGAGGGGCGGAAGTAGGGGAGAGTGAGGGAGCAGGAGAGGAATTGACTGGGAATATTTAACCACTGGGGCTGCTGTTAAAGCTCAGCCTAAGACGCAGAAGAGGATTTTATTCCCAGGTCTCAAAAAACCACGCAACCGGGCCTCCCAGGTGGTGCAAGGGGTTAGGCACTGCACTGTGAAGCAGTCCGCAGCCTCTGCAGCACGAGTTCGATCCCCGGCCGGCCAGGGAGCTACGCACAGGGCGCAGCAGACCTCTCCTGTCTCCCCGCTGCTCCCCTCAGCAGTGAATTTCAGTGGATCCTCCTGTTCTGCTCCCCACTCTCTTTGGTGAATCCTCTCACCCTCTCGCATCTCTGGTCTGTACCCCAGCTCTTGTATGCATAAATAAATAAATCTTAAAAAAAAAGAAAATCACGCAACCCAGGGATGTGTGATCAGACACAAGGATCCTGGGAAAAGGCTGGTGGGAACAGCACTCTCTTACGGCTTTGTTCTGGGGGAGAGAAAGGTGGAGCCACACCGGCTGCTGAGGACCTTCTCAGAGGAAGCCTGGGTTCTGGCCATGCTTGCAGAAGGCTGACCTGACTGGTGAGCCCATTGCTACGACAGAATACAAAGCCAAGGAGGGGGCTGAGTCACTGGGCTCAGGGTTCCATCGTGCCTGAGTCCACAGGAGAGATGGCTGGGTCGGTTGGGGAGGGGGAGGCAAGGACAGAGAAGCAGAAGATGTACTATCAGGCAGATGAGCAGGTACCCAACAGCTCAACTGCAGAGATGCTCCCACGGTGGGTGCCAAGATCAGATGGCCAGTGGGGAAGGAAGAAAGCTGGTCTTTGCTTTTCACAGATCATTTCAGATCCTCCCAGCAAATCCTAAGGGGCCTCTACTATTTCCCTGGCTTCCTTAGTCTCTATACGACTAGAAGCACCAACAGGAAGCCACATATACTGGTTTAATTGATATCCAGGGCAGCACTAAGGTTAAGAAAAAAGTGAATTTGAATTTGAAATGACTCTAGAGACCAGTTAGTCAGAAAAAGAAGACAAAGATAAGGCAGGACCATTTTGGACGATCTTTCTATTCATTTTCTGTCAAGGCCCTCCCTGTCCCTTTCAATCTGTTTGTCAATTATTGGGCTAATTATCTGGAACCAATCAGCAGTCCTTCTGAGCTAAGACACTGGCACCCCCTGGGGAGGATGGCCAATAGCCACTTGCACATAGTAGGCCCTCGGTAACCACTCAAGGAAATGAAAAGAGGAGACTGCATACTCACCCCTTTTCTGCATGAAGATAAAGAGGTCATCCAGGAACTCTTTCCTTTCCGGATCACCGTCCAGTTCATACAGCTGCAAGCCCAATACCCCCCAGGGAAAAAAGAAACAGCATAAAACAATGCAGTGAATGCAGGTGGTCCTACAAGAGAGACACACGGCAGTCGAGTGACTGCAAATGTGACTTATGGCCACTCCTGTCCCAATTCCTTAGGGAGCAGATACAACACCCCACTGCAGAATTTCGTTATGCCCCTCCCTTTCATCATCACAAAGGAAACATTACAGACCTTGGCAAAATCTCGAGAGATTTCTCTTCCCCGGCCTCCATCTGCATCCTCACTCCAGGCCAAACCACCATTCTAAAAGGGAACAAAGCACAGAATTCAGAAGGGCACAGGAAGAGAGTGAGAGAGGGCAAGATCATCTATTGTGGGAAGCGGAGGACCCTTGGCAATTGTGCTATCCTGGCTCACACGGAGCTCAGAGGTAACACCTTGGCCACCTTTACAGGGATGTTGTGTTCTTTTGTTTTGTTTTCTATTATGGTTCCAAAGACAAGAGAGTCAGGTGAAAGAGCTATCTCCATTGGTTGGAGGGTGGGTGTCACTTATACCTGATAATCCCAGAAGAGGCGGCCACAAAGCCCTGATTTTCTGTAAGCCTGCTCATCCCTAGCTGATCTTTTGGAAGCCATCACTCTGACGGGCACCAATTTTCTACCCAGTCTGTCTGGTATGTGTGCTTTGTTATTTCATGGTGAGTTTTATACTAGAGCTTATGTTACCAAGATACCTAGTCTGGAGCCTCCCTGGTGGCGCAAGGGGTTAAGTCTCAGCACTATCAAGCTATCCGTAGCCAGGGCAGCACAAATTCAATCCCCGGCCAGGGAACTGACCCACATGCCGCAGCAGACCTCTCCTGTCTTGCCCCCTGCGCCCCACTGGACTGTATTTTAATAGATCTGTCTGTTCTGCTTCCCACTCTGTCTCTGGTGAATCCTCTCACCACCACCCCCATCTCTGGCCTACACCCCAGCTCTTGTATGCATAAATAAATAAAATAAATATTAATAAAAAAGATACCTAGTCCAGCAGCTAATACAACACTCAAAGTGAGGGAGAAAGGGCCCGAGGGAGCAGGGCACAGATCCTGAAGTTGCAGTCTCTCGGCCACCCCCACTCCCAAGAGTGCTATGTAGTTCTCAAAACTCTTTAGTGACGTGAGGCCACCCACTCCCCTGCCTGAGATTATTCCTAGAGTAAAAAGACTCGGTGACATAAGGTGAAGTTCATTTTCATTAGAGAAATATACTGTACCTAATCCCAATATAATTGATTAGGTTAAACCAACACCAACAGACTGAATGGGAGGCAATGGTGAATACGCCTTTGTTTATATTCCTGAAACCTGCTTCTTGCTTTATTCCATGGGGTTAATACTACTCCAGACGGTCACCAACTTCTAGAAGCCTTCCCTTCACTCCAAGCCACATCGAGTACTCTGGAGGCAATCCCTGTCTACTTTGAGCTTAGAGTTTAACTATTATTTGGGAGTTATCTGTCATTACAAGCATCCTGTGAGCTCTCCAAGAGCAAAGGTGTCTCATTCATCTTTGTACATCTAGCCTGTGGCACACTGCCTGGCACTTAATAGGCCCCAGTGAATGCTTGCTGCACTACAGCCATTGTTAAAAGACATTAACCAGCTACTTGAATTAATTAAGCACCTCTTCAAATCACGGATACACTCATTTACCACATAGGGTTCCTAAAGGCCCTCTGCTAGTGGGGAGCATGAAATGTCACAGAAGTCTGCCCTGTACCCTGTCCCATGGGGAACAAGTGCATGGCACTGGGTGATCTGAGCCTAGCACACATTCATTTCTCCTCCAGAACCACAGAAGCACACAGGCCACCTGGCTGGTTAGGGTGCGGAAGGCGTGGGGGGGGGGTAATATCTGGGCATAGGGAGCAGTGGTTTCTACGGAGGGCATTCTTTGGCCTGCACAGGGAGCTCATTGTAAAGCCAGGCCAAATAAAAGGAAAGACTGCTCTAATTCCATTCTCTCCCCTTTAATAACGTTTGCCTGGGAGCAGGAGGTATTATTCAGTTATGTTTAGGGGCCATACTTGGTTCTGAGACATGGTCTCACTTTCTAACAGCAGCAATTGAGCACACAGTGGGGTTGGATAACCAAGAAGTGACACCCTGTCAGCTGACATGAAACAGGCAACACCAAATTGTTTCCCTCCTTATCTGGTGAAAGAGTGTGTAAGGAAGTGCTAGTAAATGCTATCTCACTGCACACTCATCATCCCCCAGGGCAAATGCAGAAATCTTCCTATGGCACCTTCAGCTTAGTGAGGTCAATAGCCAAGCTGGAGCAACACTGTTTAAAAGGAAATAAAGCTAAAACTCACCCCTCATTGTAATTATAGTCAACAGAAATCTGGTGTCATCTGGTGGCAACTAACACAATGAATAATCAAGATGAATCACGCCAGTCGGCTCAGCAAAACCAGACAGAGTTACAGTCCCTTTTCAAAGCAGGCAGTAGGTCGCCCTAATGCTGCTCAGTGATTACATTTGAGCCAGTAATTCCTGCTGGAAAGTCAATTATCCCAGGAGCCCCTATCGGCTGAAAGACATTTAATGGGGGATCATTGCTGCTTCTGTTATGTCAGCTGTTTACTGAGGCAGCTCAATTCCCAACTCTCTAGCTGGAGATCTGAAGCTGATTCTGTTCACAGGAGAATTCCTTCTCTGTCGGTCACCAAGAGAGTGAAAACAGTTTTTTGCTAATTACAATAACTTCCAGGCACTCTAAATGCTCACTCAGAAACTATTTAACACTCAGCTGGGTGGAGAGGACAGAATCCACAACCTAGAAACTCAGACAGGCTCCACCACAGGAGAGGAGTGTAAAACAAGCACAAAGGTGTGACTACGTGTGAAAATAAACACCCAAGTGTCAGAGCTGCAGGAACAGACAGAATCCTTCCAGGATGAAGCTGGGCCTGGGGCTGTCTTGATCCCTTCCTTTCTCTAGCTCTGTTCAAACCACAGAATCCAAGCAGGAGGGTTAGATGTGGTTCCAGCTATGGTCCCTTAGTATGAATCACTTAGTTTAAAAATCTGCTTAGTGATGGGGTTTTAGCCTGAAAGGCCTCTTGCTTAGTAACCAGAGAGGACAGGAAGACCTGCCAGAACAGGATGGAAATGGGATACTAAACAATTGGAACAATCCCACAATTTGGCCCATTCCAGATAGGAATGTCGGCTACTATTTAAGAAAAACAGGGGCCAGAGAGTGGTCCGGGAGCGGAGGGGTTTCCTTTTACCCAGCTCCAAGGCAGGGAAGGGCCAGTACTTAAGGTAAAATACTCAGTTGGGGCTGATGGGCAAATGTCTACTCTCCACGTTACTTTCACTGTCTTGGAACTTCGATCCTGCTTCGCAGAATTTTCTGGTTGAGGTGAGAGAATTCCTGGACGTTGCCCACCCTTCACAGTCCAGTGGAAATGCTGTGTTCTCAGGAAGCCTCTGCCCACCAGGCAGAAGCAAGTCTTTCTCTCCTGAGCTAAACCACCTCGTTCTGGCGACTACGTGCACTCAGGGCTCCTCCTCCGCAGGTGCGCAGAAAGCACCAACACATCTGGAGACAGGGATGGACGTCTCCTCCACCCTGGAGCTCCAACCCCACCGCGCCTGTTCCTCTCCTCCTTTTATGGGAGGATTATAGACTCTTGCAGTCTTCTTGGTTCTTAACTCTGACCCACCACTGTCAAACTCGGCTCACATGTACAGTTAAAGTTTACGTGCAGGAGAGTTCTAGGCCCCCAGCAGGGTGTGTGTGAGGCTGCCGCGGTGAGCAGCCCAGAGAGGACTTTTTTCCTTGGATGTTGAGTGCGGCTGAAGGAGGCAGCAGAGTAGAGGACAGCAGACCCGGGAAGAAGCCATTGTGGGGAAAACACAGCCCCAAAGGGCCAGCTCACCTGTTCAGGGGTTCACACACACACACGTTTCTGTAGAAAGGTGTCTGCACTGAGTCTACCTGCCCAGTGTCACCCCAGGCAGCGAGCCGCGGGGCTAAAGAGCCCAGAAGTGTGTGTGGGAAGCCGGCAGTAGCCAGAGTGGTCACTTATTGCCGTTTACAACCTTCTCAGCCTCTCCTACTTGAGTCTCTCAGTTAACAGCTTTGATCTCACCAGGAGCTCACAGGAAGCGTACAGTTTGCTCCCAAATACCCACCCAAGGCCAGCTTTGGTTACTCTACCCACATACAGCTCATTTCCCCGGGGAAGTCACAGAAAGTTTTGCCTTTAAATCCTCAAAAACGGCAGTGAAAGAAGGTTGGGGGGAGGAGAAAGGAGAGCGGAGAGCTGCTGTTTGCGCACCTTCTGTAAAGTCAGGCTGGGAAGCCAGGACTCACAAAGCGTGCTTTCCTCACTCAACTCACAACACAGAGGTGGTGATTTCAGAGCGGGGGAAATAATGGCTCAGAGAGCTGGAGTTACGTCCCTGGGGACTGAGAGCTTCTGTGGGGCAGCGCCCCTCAGATGTTAAACCCAGGTTCGTCTGGCTCTCTGTTACACCTATGTCTGCTGGTTGAGAGAATGGCACAAAGTGCTCTGGGTGGGGAGCATCAGGCAGGGCGAGAAGAACCGCAAGGATAAAATCCTGTTCACAGTGCGCCTACAATGCCCAAGTCATGGCCCCTGTGGTTTCTATCAATGAAAGGCTTAATCCTTGATTTATCTCACTGGCTTCAGCTGTTTGGAACATTCAGTCCTCACACAACAGACACCCAGGAGACAGAGTTGAGGGTACTGAAGCAATAGGCACTGCTAACTTTCACCACGACCTCCAAAACTGAACATCCTGGCTAGGATGAGCAGCCCTCATCCCCAGGGCGTGGAGATCAGCAGAGAGGCGAGCATCACACCTGAGTGAACCAGAGGACGAAGGCACCTAGCGCAGTGTCCTGTGTCATGCACATGAAAAGTCTTCAGAAAACAATGAATCAAAGTCTAGCCTGACTGCTACTCAAAATTGAAACAGTGCTTCTGCATACTACACAGCTACAGCAAAAGATGAAATCTTGCTGTCTGTGATAACATGGACAGAATTGCAGGGAATAATGCTAAGCATAGTAAGCCAGGAGACAATACTGATGATTCCACTCATATGTGGAATATAAAGAAACAAAACAAAGGAATACACAACACAAAAACCAAAACAAACTCCAGCAATCTGACTGCAGAAGTGAGGCTCCAGAGGGGAGGGGAGGGGAGGGTACAAAGGACAGTGACTGGGGTGGAGGACTCAGGGTGCCCTGGTGGTGTGTGTCTGGTGGCAA